TTCTTAAAGATATACTTCAATTTTTAGCATAAAGAATGTACTTATTTACAGATGTACAGTATAGGTGAACAATACCTGTTCTTTTTAACTATTAAATTGGCACAGTGTGGACTGCAATGTTTGGGTATGTCTAGTCATGAAACACTGAGTACATGGACACAAACCTGGAAAAGGCTAGAACCACTAATAAATTTAATTTGGAGGATACCAGCTTGGTAAAATGTTTTCTTAAACTTTGCATTTTAGATTTATTTTGGAAGGACATATATACATTTAGCATTTAAATGAACCACCAACAATTAAGTAACATCATATTCACACAGATGTATATCTATCCATATCTAAAATACGTATTTACCTTTGGGTAAAATTTTGAGTCTTTGGCGAGGTAAGATAATAGGTATACAGCACTGAAAAATCAAAACTTTAAATTTCTTACAAGTTAGGAAGGTGCCATTGACCCCAAATGGCCTTATTATCTGGTGTACAAGTGCATCTCATATATATATATATAATAACAAAATGCTCCTATAGCCAGAGCAAATAAGTGTAGGCCAGATTTCAAAAGCAGGACTGCCCAAATGGCAGATTTCTTTTCCTGTCTGAGTAGTATAGCTCACAGACAGCAGAAATGCCAAAGATTTTATTGACCATTTTTATATGTAGAACATCTAGAGGATTTTGTATCTTTTAAACTTACATATTTCTAATCTCATGTAATCTTTTGCATAACACTCAAAATTTAGACACATAGCTCTCATATTCTTAGTTATACACATGTACTAGGATTATTAAAATAATAGTTACTTAACCAGTTATTAAGTTATTATTTAAAAGACTTTTATGTAAACAGATATTTAAATGAACTCTGATTATTTAGGACTCATGTTACCTAAATAGTCAAAAGTCCAACAAAATTAGAGAAAACACAAGCAATTATCTTGATAGAACACAAAATCCCTAGAGTTCCAGGCCAGTACTTTGCAGATGTTATTAAGAGCAGCTCAGTGTTCTTATGAAAGCTTTGTTGGTGTAGACATATGGAATTAGGTTAAGATTCAGGGAGAATCTTACCACATGGAAAGAGGTAAGCATTTTGACCCCATATTTGGTATACAGAAATGAGGTTTAGTTTTAAAAACAAAGAATTAGAGCAAGGGATTTATCATCTTTCTCTCAGATGAGGGAATTGACTTGTCTCCACTTGAGTCGGGAAGCTTTCTGTATTAGGAGGTGATAAAAGGGCTCAGAACTGAGAAAATGGCCAGAGTAGAAACTGTCTTTTGTATTTTGTGATCCACACCCTGGATTTGTGCATAAAACCATGAATGTGTGGACATTCGTGGGACCTCTGCCCACTTTCCTTTTTGTTTACAAAACAAATCTAACTGATGGACCATATTGTAGTTAAGACTATGATTCTTTGGTCAGTGTTCCCCAACTGTAAAAGAAACAAGAAGAGAGCCATGGCTATTTACTGGTTCAAGTGTCCTTTTCCCAATTGGCCTTTCAAGAGCTAACCATGGGAGGTTGTCCCATGAGTATTGTCCTATGAACAGTGAAATGACCTCCATGGTGTCCCTTGGGGATCCACTCACCTTTCTATGTTTCTATCTTGCCATCTCTTATTTTTAAGTTTAATATCCTTTTGTCTAACTTTAAGTATACCCTCATCAAAATTCTTCCTACTTAGTGGATGAGCATGGGGATAAATTATCCTTTCTTTGTTCAAGAGCCATTCAGGTAATAGATGCACGATGTTGAAAAGTGGAAGGTCCTATGGCAAGTAGGGAGAAGTTGGGTTCAACAAGTGAGGTGCCTGAGAAAGAGGGTAGGGAAATACCCTACCTTCCAACCTGAGTTGGAGAAAGACATCTCTGGGGTAGACAGCCCCAGAGATTTTCTAAACATAGGGGCAGAGAGTTCCATGAAGGTAGGAAAGAACTTGGGAATATCTCAGTGGCCACGTAGGTAATGAAGTACTAATAGGCCATTTTGGGGTCCAATATGCTTTTAGATTAGGGCTACTTTTCTGACTAAGAAATTACAAATCCACTTGTCAGAAAAAGTGAAAGTAAACCCAGTCTTGGAGCATACCACACAGTGAAATCCAGTAACAGTTGCACAGACTTAATGTTGTTTGCATATTTAAAAAATTTTGAAGAAATCAGGAAAGCAAGAACAGAGAGACTCCCATGGGAAGGCAAAACAGCATATCTTGTCTTCTGATAAGTTGCATAAACACAGCAAGCATGAGGCTAGCATACTGAGCAAGGACAAATCACTCAAAGGTACTGGATGGGTACTTAGAAAAGCAGAGGAAGTGGCATTCCCAGCCTAAGAGCACACAAAAAGACTGACCTGGAGAATAATTTCATCTTTACCTTAAGGAGGGAGACCCATACCTGTCCTCTGAATCCTATCATCTAAGTCATAGCACCACAATGTTACCAATTGATGATGTGTTCCTGATGTTCTTTGGTTCTTGAGTACAATGTCTATGATTAAGACACTTCTCCAGGTGCAGAAAAAGAACCATAAGAGTAGGAAGATAGTAAAGAGTGATTTATCTAGGAAAGTAAAAATACATCTCCAGGTGTAAGGCACACAGTTGAGTGAGAGTCACTCACCTAAACAGAAACAACTCACCTCAAACGCTGAGGTGGATGGTTGGATGAGGGTTGAATGCCTGAATTTTTCTTCTGTATCCCCCTCTCATCTCTTTGGGAGACTTCAATCACAATCACATTTTATTAGACCATTTGGTATTATGTCATTGGTCTTGTGTGCTCAGTTCTCTGAGTTTTTCTTTCAACTTTATTTTCTCTTTGTGTTTTTAATGAGAATAATTGATTTTGTCCTTTCTTCAAATGCTTTATTTCTTTCCTCAGCTGTTTTGAGTCTAGTGGTGGGCCTGTCGGACACATTTCCCCACTCTAATAATTATTTTTAACAATTTCTAGCGTTTTACTGTGCCATGGTGGCCCATGCCTGTAGTCCTAGTCTTTTGGAAGGCTGGGATTATACACAATCAGAAAGATTTTGGTTCAGGCCAGCCTGGGCCAAAAAAGTTTGCGAGACCCCATCTCCATATAAAAAAGCTTGGCATGGAGGCATGCACCTATCATCCCAGAAATGGCAGGAAGCATAAAATAGGAGGATCACTGTCCAGGCCAGCCTGGGCAAAAAAGCAAGATACTGTCTCCAAAAAATATCAGAGCAAAAGTGCTAGAGGCATGGCTCAAGAGGTAGAGAGCCTGACTAGCAAGTTTGCAGTACTGAGTTCAAATCCCAGTTCCACATGCATCCTCCCCCAAAATTCTACAATTTCTATTTGAGTATTAAAGTTTCCATGTCTCTGCTGAAATTCCTCATATGTTTATATATGCTGTCTACTTTGCCAAACTAGATAATTTAACACAGTCGTTGCCATAGTTTATTTTTAAATTCTCATTTGTTCCTTCCAACATCTGGCTTACCTGAGTCTGGTTCTGTTGATTGCTTTTTCTTATGGATTATTTTTCTTTTATTTTTGTGTGTTTTGTAATTTTTGATCAAGTGCCAGACATCATGATAGGACAGTGTAGTAATATATTTTCCTGGAAATTGGAAAATCTTTTTGTCATGTCATTGATGTGAGACCTGGTAACATTCTAATTAGCACCTGAGTGGGATTTGGATTGTGTTGTGGTTGTTATTTTCAGCACACTATGTCTCTCAAGCTTTCTAGAATTGGGATAAGAATGCTATGCTTATATTCCAATGTCTAAAATCACAGTATTTTTGGTCTCTTGGGTTGAAGTCTCATTTTAGCTTGCTTCTTCCATGGTGAACCCTTGGGTGCTGGATGATTTTTCTCAGTTTTCCTGTTCTCTATCATATTTCAGTTGTCCTTCCATGCCTGCATTATTTCCCATGCCTTTGTCCTTCAGCGGTCAGCAGCTATTGATTGTTCTGCAGTGTTAGGCTTGTGGTGGACATAGGGCCCAGGAACGTTGAATTTTTTTCCTTTTACCCTTCTGCATATAGCAATTATCATAGCATATATACAGAATATTTTCTGTTTCTCTGTATCCTATTGGTTAGTGGCTTTCTACAATCACCAGCTTATGCCTTCAGCTCCCGTGAGTCATGTTGGTTTTCCTTCTGCCTTCCCATAGAAACAGGGGATCTTTTCCTTGCCTCTGTGGGGAGGAGGTTTGGTGCTTCTTCCTTAAGCAGTTTAGAGATTTTACATAGTTGAGAAAAAATGTTCCATGTGGATGAGGATTGTATGACCATTCCTTACCAGCCACAACTCACCTCATTTTTACTTGCACTGTAAGGGATGTCTTGTCCCCTGCTTTCTCATAGCAAGCAATGAATGGAGGCCCATGGGGAATAGCCTGCCTTTTAGAGCAGTCATGCCATCTCTTCCAAACTGATGCATTAGCTCAAGTGGTTCTAATGAACAAAGAATTGTAGGAAAGGGAGTTTCTTAGAAAGTAAATTTATTTTATAGAACTGTTGGTAGTTTGTTATTAAAATTACAAAACCAAATCTCATATAGTTTTCTACTATCTTCTAACTGGAATATTTCAAGATTTAGAGACTAGTGGTGAGTACAGGTTTGCCTGCTTCCTCAAATAAGTTCTGGAATTTTCCTGGTCTGTGATTGTACAACTCCTCATGATTGGCCTCATTATTACCAGAAGGGAAGATATTTACCTAATGATTTTCATATGAAAGACTGGAAGCTGTATTCTGGTTTCCAGGGGTCCTTTTCCTACTGAAATTTCTACTCACTTCTATATCCACTCAAAATCCTCAGCTTCTCTGGACAAGGAAAGCATTTGGACTTTTTTTTTGGTGGGACTGGGGTTTGACCTCAGGGCTTCATGCTTGCACATCAGATTCTGTACCACTTCAGCCACACCTCCAGTCCCATTTTGACATTTGACAGTCATAGAGACTTTATGACCATGTCTCTTTCTCAATCCATGTGTTCGTCCGTTTGGCAGAATCGCATCGCCAAGCGCAGCAGGAAGCTGGTGGACTACGACAGTGCCCGCCACCACCTGGAAGCTCTGCAGAGCTCCAAAAGGAAGGATGAGAGTCGGATCTCTAAGGTAGGGATTGATCCCACGGTTGATGCCACTCTCCACATCTTATGATCTGTGTCAGGTTTGCTTTATAAAATTAAATTTTTCTTTTTTAAAGAAAAACTAAAATCAGGACAGGATTTAAAGTGAAACATGGTGCTCTGAGTCCCTTTCCATTATTTTTAATTAAAAGGAGGATTTTCTTGTTACAGAGTTCATGTGAGTGAAGTGACTCACACATTTTGATCAGAATAAACTTTGGTCTCCTGCAGAGTTGCAGGATTAAAGAATGTGTGTGTGTGTGTGTGTGTGTGTGTGTGTGTCTGCACTTCCTTATGTGGTGTGGCTCATAATTAGTGCTAAAATATAGATTCAGATGGGAAACCAAACTTGAAATTCTCAAACATAAATCGTGATTTTCGGAATGCACAGACATATGCTAAAATTGCTTAACATTAATTAATTTTCTTTTAGAGAACCCATCTCAGTAGTTTTTATTATGTATGTCAGTAATTTACAGATGCCAACTAACTTATTTCGCCTACCCACTACTCCCTTTGGTTTCAGTCTCGCCTTCTCTTATCTGCCTACACACAGCTGCCTGAATAGTCTTTCTGTATAAGATATCTAGATATGTTTCTCTGCTACTTACCTCTTGTAATAGGTCCCATTCCCTGTAGGAAAATAAAAGACCTATATTCCTTAGCACGGTATGTAAGACCTTCACAATTTGGTTATAACTTAAAATGTCGTCTATCTTTACCAGTGTTCGAGTCTTTTCCCCTCCTCTTCTTATCCCTTGCAAACACTAGGCAGAGTCTGGGAAACCACAATGACAACTACCTTCACAAGAGGCTTTATCTAGGCAAGGCACTGTTTAACACTTCACGCACATTCTTTTTCTTTTGTAGTCATCACAACTGTTGGCATACAGGAAGGAAAAGCAAACTAAGTTCACACCCTAAGCAAGCTAGAACCGCCACCTTTATGTATTGTGATGTCTTCCCTCTTCCATTTTTTCTAATTCATCAAAAATGTCCCTTGGCTGTGTTCCCTCTTCTCTGCACCATCGTCCCTATAGAATGATCTATAATGGAATATCTTCCCTCTGAAAATACAGCTTGCAGTTGTTTAGCTATTTCACTAGGTTGGACTTTCTTGGGGGAGCATTCATGTCCAACATCCACAGCAACACTCTATGTGAGACAGTTACCATAGTTTTTAAGAACAAGTGAGTCATCCATTGATGATTATTGCAAGAGAAACCATTGTAATTAATCCAATTTCTTGTTTTAGTAAGTCTTCACATTTAATTGAGAGAATGATGTGTACCTTAATAAATGTCTCTCCTCAAAATCTATTCAGGATGCCATAAGACTATTCCTATTTTATGTTAAACAATATTGTTTATAGAAATGGATTTTTTTGTGTAAACATGTATTATGTATCATTTTTAGGCAGAAGAGGAGTTTCAGAAAGCACAGAAAGTGTTTGAAGAGTTCAATGTTGACCTACAAGAAGAGTTACCATCATTATGGTCAAGGTAAAAATGTTTCTGTACCAGTTGTGCATATCCCTTTTAGCAGTTCAAGAAGAGTGACTATCCCTTATGTTGTATTCATTGTCTTGTGATGCTTCAGTGCTATCCAACAGAGGTGTTCTATACCTACACTTTGCTGCTTTCCAATATGGCAGCTTCTTGCCACATGTGCCTGCTGAGTACTTGGAATATGGCTAGTGTGACTGAGGAAATGAATTTTACATTTAATTTATTTTACTCTCATTTAATTTATTTTATTCTAATTAATTTTAATTTAAATAACCCATGTGTTTAGCAGCTGTCCATGTCAGATACCACAGATGTGCTTCTTGAGATGTTTCTCTGAATTGTTCAATTTTAGTATATGTGCAGTTAAAGTGAGCACTGGATCTTGATTTATTTCTCAAGTGGAAACTCAAACCTCAGTTAGAGGTATTAGGAGAATTATCCTCAAGCCTAAAATTTACAGCTAGTTGCTTGCAGCTCTTGTGGAACTTCTTTTACTCCAAGAGCTCATCTAGTCTTCTGGCTTTGATGTTGCTTTCAGCCTTGAAATTTTACTCTGAATTCCAATCCTATTTCAAGGACTGCATGTGCTTATTACTTACAGGCATTCTGTATTTTGCATGACATCAAGTGCATTTTATGTAGTTTGTTCTTTTTTCTTTGCTCGATGGGAAAATCCAGAAGTTGCTGGGTGAAAGGGAGGCCTTATGTTGCTGTCACACTTCACAGAATACTTGCATCTGAAAATTTTACATGTGTTCTTGGCATGACAGGCTTTATCCTCGTTGAAGATATTCAAGTCACCAGTGGTTTCCTATAGTTCATATTGTCCTTAACAGATATTCCCTTCCTAACTTACTTTCATTTTCATATAATAAAACCATTTTTCTTTTCATTTTTTCTGTAAAGAATTTGTGTGATCCCCCACTTAGTCCACTGCTTTTTAAAAAATCTTTTATTTTGTGGTACTGAGGGTTGAACTCAGCTCCTCGCACTTGCTAAACAGGTGTTCTACTTGAGCTGTGTCTTGGTCTTTTTGTTTTTTAATTTGTCTTACATATCGGGTCTTATCCTAACTTTGCCCAAGCTGGACTAAGACAACAATCCTCCTTCCTCTACCTCCTGAGTAGCTGGATTATAGGCATGTACCACTATTCCTGACCCCATTGCTTTTTAAACTAATCAGTTCAAAACTTCCAATTATGAGATAATATACCTGGCAAATTGCTAGTTGACAATCATGAAGTAATACCCTTGGAAAAATTGCCCAGAACCAAATACATTATTTTCATTACTATGTGTTAGGCATGTAAATATTTTTCCTCATAATTTCTATAAAGATCCAGAACCAGCATTAATTGATGTTATTTCAGTTCTATGTGCCCTTCCTAAATAGCATTTGCCTATTAAAAATAGAGCAATTGTTAGAGTGTCTTGTCACTTGACTTTGTAACTTAAAAGCAAAAGAAATAAATTCCTCAAGGATACTATTAGAAGGAACCCGTTCTTCTTCTTAGTTCACACACAGTATAAATCTTTCAGTGCTTTATAACCCAATCTAATTTATCATTCTGGCTCTAAGAGTTCTATCTTAGGTCAATTCAGAGCCTGCCCTTTGATTAAAATTTGTCCTAGGCCTTCCTTTCTCTATAGTATATTGTTCCTTGTCTAAGTCCAGATAACTCAGCCACAGTTATTATATGGTGTGTGTATGTGTGTGTGAGTATTTGTTGATTCTTTTCTCTTTCCTGGATATCATTTTATATATCTGACATATATAGGCTCTAATTATTATAATTATAGACATCTCCATTTTAAAGATGAGAAGGCTAAGGGTCCTATCAGTTAAACACCTTGCCTAAGATTGTAAAGTTTATGTATCCCAAAGGTAGTATGTACAAATACTTCTGTGGATTTTCCCCATAAATCCTTCAGCCTGTATCTAGGGCCACTCTTTAACACAATGAGCTTGCATTCAGTCATGACTTTTCAAGTTATTTCATAAGTACTTACATTCCTTTCCCAGCTATATTGCTCAACCTTAAAATCGAAGTTAGTACTTGGAATCTTCTGTCCTCCCATGGGAAAGGCAAAACATTGGATATTCTGTAATGGACATGGATTACATGATGCATGCATGAAATCCTGCAGTGAACTGTCCACAGTTAGCCATCCAGAATGTTAGTGAATGTTCTGTATGTGTCTTAGGTCCAGTTGGACCACAGTGTTGTTCACGTTCTCCTATTTTCTCACTAATCTTCCCCCTAATTTTTCTGTTAATTACTGAAAGTGAGGTATTGGAGCCTCCAACTAACATTAGGCTACCCCTCTCTTCAGTTCTGTCAGTTTTTGCTGTGTGTGCTTTTGAACTCTATTGTTAGGTCTCTATACGTTTGAAATTAGTATGTTCTCATTTCTTTTTTTTTTTCCTGATAGTACAGGGTATTGTGCTGCTAGGTAGCTTCACTATCACTTGAGGCCGCCCCCAGCCCCCTTTGCTTTGGTTATTTTTGAGACAGGGTCTCACATTTATGCCTAGGCCAGCCTGGACCACAGTTCTTCTATTTATGCTTCCCACATAGCTGGAATGACAGGTATGCGCCTCCAAACCCAGCTTTTATTGGTTGAGATGGGGATTCTCACTAACTTTTTGTCCACACTGGCCTCAAACCATGATCCTCCTCATCTCCTCATCTTCTCCTCACAAATAGCTGGAATTGCAGGCTTGAACCACTATGCCCAGCTTAATTGCTGTGTTTTCATAATGGCTGAGCATTTTATCTTTATGTATTTCTTTGTCTACAATTATAAATTTTGTTTATTTTGTCTGATATTAATTTTTTCTCTTTGTGTGGTATATATATTTCTATTCTTTCATTTTCCACCTTTACATCTTTGAATCTAAAATGTACCTCTTGATGATAGTATGAAGTGTTATGATTTATTGGTGTATATGTACATGTATGTGTGTAAGTGTTTGTGTTTTATTCATTCTGCCAACTTCTGCCTTTTGGTAGGTGTGTTTAGTCCATTTACCTTTAATGTAGTTTCTGATAAATTAGGATTTACGTGTGCCATTTCACCATTGCCTTCAGTATGTTTACGTCTTTTTTGTCCCTCTATTCACCATTGCATCTATGTGTAGGAAATTGTTTCAAAAGTTTGGATGGATGAAAGAGAAAATAAATATGCTACTACCTATTGGGTGATATAGGTTCAATTTCAAAAGAGGAAATGCCAGGGTGTGTTTGTGTTTTTATTTATTTTTCATTGTAAGTTTTTGCCATGCTTGGAATTTAATCCAGGACCTCACTCTTACTAGGCAAGCACTCTACCACTCAGATACCCCATCCCTGTTTGTTTGAGCTTACAGTTCACAAGAGATGATGGTGACATATTATTATTAAGAAGGAAGGGATCCCAAAGGGAATTTGTGAACTGAATCTCTTAAGATGAGTAAAGTCAGCATTTGATGAAAGAATGTTCTAGGCGGACGAAGAGTATGAATAAAGACATGGGGATTGAAACAGATCTGTGGGTTCATGGAACTTTAATTAATTTAATGTAGCATGAGGTCAGAGTAAGAATACCCAGGAGGGGATTGTGGTAAGAAAGCAGGAAAGGCAGGGTCAGATTCATTTGTCATTTATTCATCAAATATTTATTGATCACGCACTGTGTGTCAAACCTTCTTTGAGGTGTAACAGATCTATACTAACACATTTTGTTTTCTTGGAGCCTACATTGAAGGACGGGGAAAAGCAATTATCAAGAAAAGAAATGAAAACTAAAATGTCAGGCAATTAAGTCTTAAGCAGAAAGTGAACCCAGATAAAATAATAGAGAATGACACAGAATGGATAGCCAGAGTATCCATGGTGGTTAGAAAAGACTTCTCTCAAAGACTTAGACATTATATAAAGAATAGGAAGTTTGGCAAAAGCACTAAGTTCCATTTTATATATGCTGAGTTTGAAGAATCATTTAGAAACTCAAAGGCATATGTCTATTAAGATAACTAGATCTGGAGCACAAGAGATAGATTGGAAGACATTAGCATGTGGGTGGCATAGATGGAAAGGTGAGAGCCAAAGGCAGAACCTTTAGGAGATGCAATGTTAAAGCAGTGCACAGAAGAAGCCCCGGAAGAAATACCAAAGAAGAAACAATTAGAGACATACAAGGAGCTTTCCAAGAGAGTGGTACATCAAATAGTCATGAATGGAGAAGGCATAATAATGGAGTGTTATTTCCAATGTAGAGAGATCATGCAGATGAAGTCTAAAGTTACTTTGCCTTTACTGCACTTCCAGAAAGGCTTCAGTAGGTGGCAGGATCAGGCTCAGCTGTAGGCACTGGAGAATCCACTGGAGATGAGGAAGCAGCCACAGAGGATACATCCATTGTTTTGAGGATCTTGATTATAATGGCCTTGAGGAATTATGGCAGATATGGGGAGATGATAGGGTAAGGGTAACCTTAGAAAAGTAACTCATCACTTTGCGAAGATAGCAAGGGCAGTGGCAAAGGTAGGATGACTTTGAAAAAAAAAATCTATCTATCTATCTATCTATCTATCTATCTATCTATCTATCTGTATCTGTCTATATGTAGGGCAAACAGGGGATATGGACAGCGTGAGGGTGTTGGCTAGCCAGAGAGTGCTGAAGCTTAAGCTACAGGACCCAAGCTCAAAAAAGGAAAAATGGAACCCAAATGGGTACAGTCACCTGGAAAAAAAGGGGCAGTGATCTTACAGAGGGTTTAAAAGTAAAAATTCAGCAGGTAGATGGAAATGAAGGAGTGGGGATTTTATGTCAAGCATAGGTTAGATGTGGACCCCTGGATCACCCCATTTCAGAGGTGAAGCAGTAGTAAATTATGGCGAGATTCAGGCTGGACAGTGGTGGTGGCAGAATGTGTATAAGTAGGATGCTGGGTGATGAGCTGGGGCCTGTTTTTCAGCCAGGCATTCATATAGATGATGAAATCTGCTGTGTTGGTGTTAGGATTGAGTGAGGGAGAAAGAGGGAAGCCATCAGGGGGCTCCAATGCACAATGAATGAGATGGAGGTGCTGCTGGGAGCTGATAGATGAGCTGTTGAATGACAGGAGGTTGAATATGTAACAGTGTAGGTATGAGTGAGCTCAGAGTCTAGGGAGACTTAGGAGAAAGCTCCTCTTTCTCTCACTCCATCTCCATGCCAGGTGGGCTGGCAGAGGATGCTTCGTCCACCACAGGTGGTCTGGGGAAGCAGCAACAACCCTTTCCGGGAAGACAGATTTCCCTTAGCACATTTAGGGGGACAGTGTTCTGGCCTGCAGACTGTGGCTGTGATCAGATCACATTTAATTCTTTCCACTGTTTCCAACAACAGGAAACAGGTAATAAGGAAATTGATTTTGACAGCTAATCTGAAGGGCCCTGGTGAAGCCATAGAGACGTCCTTTGGGGAACTGGTAATGCCTCAGAGTCCCTTGTTCTGAAGAACTTGTGAAAAGAGCCTTCCAAGCAGATAATATCAGAATTTAGAACTTGGCACTCTGTGAATGTGTATTTTGCTGGTGTGACAATAGTCTTTTACAAGCTGGGTACATCAGATTACTCCTTTCCAATGAGTGCCAAGTTTGATCTTTCATGGACTTGTTCATTCATTCATGCATGCATGCATGCATGTAGTGTTCACTGCATAGCAGGTGCTGAGCCTGTAACTGAGGATGAGTCAAAGGCATTCCCAACTTTAATAGAGCTCCTGATTTCATAAACTGGAGAAAAATCACTATTTGATAAGTTTATCAAAAACATTGAACATTTTCTTCCTGTGTAAGTACATACTAGTAAATTTAATTTCTTCATTCTAAAAAGAAAATAAAAATATTAGAAAAGTATAGATGTTTGTGTACTTGTTCTAAATAACTGATATTGCAATTGCAGAAAGAAATAATTGATATAAAAACATAAGCTGTGAACAGGATAGCAAAATTTTAAAATAGAATAGATACTCTTTTTTTGCTAAATGTATTCAAGATTTAATATGCTTAATGGAAATGCACTTGGAAATCAATAATAAAAGCACTAAGAAATAAGCAAAAATATGAATAGGTGATTAAAATGGGCAATAAATAAGCAAAAAGCATTAATCTTACTTAAAGGAATAAAAATTAAAAATTTAAAAGATTCTATCGACTTTACAAAGGTTGTATTTAAGGTGATATTGAAGAAATGTAAATGGACTGGCCTGGTGGGAACAGTTGACAGTGAACATCAAAGCTTCTAATCTCCACGCCTCTCACCAGCATTTACACATATGAACCTTGCTCTAAGGAAATAATAAGCTGTGCACAAAGTCTTAATTGTAGACCTTTATTAGGGCTTTGTTTATCACAATGAATCAATACCGATGAAACAATACCTGCCAATTAACTCCCATCTGTATCCACCTTCTTCAATCTGACATCCTTTTGGGCAGCCTAAGTTTGTCCTCTTAGGAAGATGACACAGGGTCTGTTAATTCCTTCTCTTCTCAGTACCCACATGAACTCATTTTTGACATTTACTTGTGTTTGGCCTTCTGTGGTAGTTTAACATTCACATGTGGTTTTGTAATTTGCTTCCTCTTACAGTATAATCCCATTGTAAACACAAGTGGAGCATATCCTGTTAACAAGCCCCTCTGGGTGCTCCTCGAACTGAATTGTAAATTTGTGGAGCCTCATAAGCCCACAGCTACATATGTACCTAGCGTTGGACAGGTCCTGTGCTGAGTGAGTGAAGGGGTAAAGGTGCTAAGAATACTGGCTGAGATGATGGGGCTCTAGACAGGGGTCATGGGTTGCCACTCAGAACACCAAGAGGACTTCTCACCAGACAGTACAGTGAGTGGGCTCCCTCTGCATGGTGTTGGCAGAAAGCTGCAGGATCTCTCCTGCCATCCAGCTGCCATGTTAGTTAGCATGCTCCACTCTCCCCTACCTCACTCATAGGTGCTGCCCCTTCCTGCAAATAAAAGTACTTGGAGCCTGTCAAGGGTTCTCATCTCCCAGGCCCTGGTCTGACCTTTCTGAATGCTTACTATTTCCTAAGCAGACTGTGCCAGGATTTTCTTTGTCAATATATATCTGTACGCCTATGTGTATATAGTGTGTACATATACACAGTCATCCTTTAGTATCCAAGGGATTAATTCCAGAACCCCTCATGGACACCAAAATCCATGAACAAGTTCCTTACATAAAATAATGCAGTGTTTGCAAATAACCTACACACCACATACTAACATATACTACAGATCATCTCTGAGTTGCTTATAATACTTAATAAATGTAAATCTATATAAATAGTTGTTATACTTTGTTATTTAAGGAATAAAGAAAGAAATATCTGTATATATTCAGTGCAGATGCGATTTTTTTCACTTCTTTTGTGGTATTGAGGTTTTGAAACCAGGGCTTTGTGTTTCCTAAGCAAGCACTTTACCATTTCAGCCATGGCCTCAGTCCTTATAGCTTTAGGTATTTTCAGATAGGGTCTCATGCTTTTGCCTAAGCTAGCCTTGGACCACGATCCTCCCACTTATGCCTCCTGTATAGCTGGAATTACAGGATGAGCAACCATACCCAGCTTGTTCTTTGAGATAGGATCTCACTAACCGTTAATGTGCTGGTCACAAACCACAATCCCCCACCTCTGTCTCCTGAGCAGCTGGAATTATAGGCATGAGCCAACACACACCTGACTTTTTCCTAATATTTTTGATCAGTGTTTGGTTGAATCAGAAGAAGCACAAACTGTGGATCTGGAGAGCCAACCGTATACACACAGATGTATGAATAAGTAGATGGGACTGAATTTACCACTTACTGTTTCATTTCTGAGTCTTTAAATTGAATTTCAAGCCTTTATTTTGCTTAAAATTCTAAACCACCTAATTCAAGCATCAGGCTCAGCAGGATTTCTTGTGAAGTATGGCATGATTTTCTGTTGCCCTCTAGTCTTTTGGGTTCAAATGCTAGTTCTTCACATACTGACTGTGTGACTTTGGACAATTCTCTGCGTCTCGGCTTTCATGGTAAAACGGAGATCAGGGGACAGTTATGAGAATTCCATGAGGGAGCCTATACATGTACCTGGACAGCTGTTGTTTTGCTGGCTTTTATGCTGATGGGACATTTGTCTCCCTTTGCTTAATGGTATTGTGCTTGCCACAAGGTAGCTCAACCACAGGACATTCACCAAGTTTCCTCAGACTTTAATCTCACTGTGCTGTGTGCAGGAACAGCTTATTCCCCGGCCGTATTATAAATCCTGAGTGTGTGCTATTGCATACGTTAGATCTTCCTAGTGTTTCTGACACATAAGTCCTTACTTGGTTTTGATTAAGATTTAGAGTCTCATTCAACAATTGGGGTACCGGGGTTATTTTTGAGAATGACACTGAAACAAAACATTAAATAAAGTGGTAATTTTCTCAGATATATTCAGTAGAATTAAGTTAATAAAGCATGCAAAGATTCATCATTTAAATTCATCATTTAGAGGGAACTTATCTTGGGGAATTCTGGTCTGCATCCACATCTGACTGGTGTATTTAATATTTAAGACTAAAAAAATGAGGACCGGTGAGACTTTGCTCATATACCAGAACACTGCCCAATGGCTGTCCTTCACAAACAGATTGGAGATATTGCCAGTAGGCAGCTTATGTTTTTGTTTGCCCAATGAGAGTGCACTCTTACTTTTGCTGCACAATTGGACTTATTTTGTGGGTTTTATATTTCCCTCTATTAACAGATTTGGGAGTTCAAATGTATAAAATTAGACTGTCTATGTTGTTTTTTTTTCTGGCAGTACAAGGGATATAACTCAGGGTCTTGCACATAACATGCACTTTATCACTGAAGTACCTCCACAGCCCTAGACCCTTTATATTTTATAAAAATTAAAAATAGAAACAAATTGTCAGGACAGTGGTTCCAAAAGTAATGTTTCTGAATAGAGCATCAGAGTCACCTAGACATCACTTATTAGAATGATACATCTCAGCCTACACCCCAAGACCTACTGAGACAGAGCGAGCATCCCAGGCCATCTGGGTGCACACAAAGGATTTGAGAACCACTGTCTTAGGGTGGGAACTCAATTTCAGCAGAGGCTGTGCTTATTTCAAAAAATGATTTTCTGTTCATTACCAGATGAGGAAAAGTCAGGTATACTGTGGGTTAAGTATTTTATTTAATCCAATGTCATTCATGATTGTATAAAAAACTTGTTTTAATATGCTTCACTGCCATAAAAAAATCCATTTTTGCTAAATGGCCTCTACCCTTCTTCTCCTCTTCATTTCTACATGGCAGACGAGTTGGATTTTATGTCAATACTTTCAAAAACGTCTCCAGCCTTGAGGCCAAGTTTCATAAGGAAATTGCAGTGGTGAGTGATGACAATTATTTTTACATATGGAGCAGAAGTATGCAAAGAAACATTTGTTTTGGAAACAAATAAGATGACATAGCATTATCCAAAAACAGAAATTCTCCCCTTGCATGTTTCTTGTAATAGTGTGTTTTTATTCTTTAATATGTGTACTCTTGTCTTTTTTTTCTGGTGACCACATAGTTCTCTATCTTTTAAGTGTTTTGTCTCAGCCGCATCATTTTGTTTTTTCTTTTCAGCTGGTTTATAAAATTGGAATTTCAAAGTGGTACTTGTGGCTGAGGAAAGATTGGTCTCAAAATATTTAGATAATCAGCAGCTCTGTTGTTGATTGATATTTTCTTAGTGTGACAGAGTAGCTATGTGACTAATTTCTAGTAGAGTCAAAGTGCACAATAAGCTTTTGTTTTCTACTCTGTACTCTGGTGAATAAACATATATACTTTTCAGTTATTTTAGTTTTTTATTTCAGTTTTGATGTGGATTTTAAATTTGCACCTTACTGAATTTCAAGTATCCCAAGACTACCCTAACTCTCATAAGAGTCTTATTTTCTCAATAAACAATTTCTTTCTTGGGGAGAATTTGCTGGGTTGGCTCTAGGATGACTTGTAGCTAATAGACAAATGACTTCTGTTTCCTTAGCTTTGCCACAAACTCTATGAAGTGATGACGAAACTGGGTGACCAGCATGCTGACAAGGCCTTCACCATTCAAGGGGCCCCCAGGTAGGCTGCTGCTCATAAAAGCAGAGTTCATTTCCATGTACCTGTGACACTTCATGTAGTCTGTGGACTAGTCTACCTATTTTATTCATCCTGTAAAAGTCTAAATGGAGTTAGACTCCATCCCAAGGCTGACAGCAGCCTTACTTTTGTGCTTTCACATTTACTTCTGGCCTTCAGTTATCCCACTAGGGTCTTTGATGTCACAATAAAATTAACTAGCTGCCTCTCTTTGGTTTACATGAGGCCTATAAGCAATAGTGTGAAGTTGCAGTAATTTCTTGTGTATTTGTTACCTCCTCTGGAAAAGAAAGGAATTTTTAAAATCCATCACTGAGTACTGATTCTTACCCAGTTTGGGAGAAGAAAGAGGTAGGAGAGACCTTACGATCATCTTACCTCTGTTTTGGCATTTCTCTGGCAAATGCACATTATTGATATTAGTGTGACACTCAAATCCACCAAGAGCCCAGTGACTCATAGGTGAATTGTCCACTTTGCCACGGTTTGGCTTCATAACAACTTTCTTTTGTGATTTTGGAATCTCTGTCATTCCATCCCTGTATACTCAGAAAATGCAGCTTAGAAAGCATTGAAATGGAAGTCAAAAGCCCCAGTTTTCAGTTTTATGCCTCTGTAGTTAATTTGCTTTGGTTAAAGAGCTCATATCTTTTTAATATGTAAAAAAAAGTAAGATACCATTAAACTAAATAACCTCTAAAGCTATAGGCCATCCTGACATGGTGTAGTTGTGAGTTTAATATCAAACAGTGAAAACACTTATGCACATGCATTTATAGACACACATATTCATAACATACACCAGTATCTACATATGTCAGTGCCTGGACACTGTGGAGACTGCCATTTTTCTTATTTCTTGCTCTTTGGTTTGGCTATCCTTGTATTCCCTGTTATGACTGCTGTCCTAAGTGGGCAGTAAGCATATTTTCTTTCTCTAAGGGAAAGAATATTACCTAAAAGAACACATGAAAAGGCACTGTTAGTGTTCCAATATGGTTATTTTAATATTGAGCTGGAAACAAAGGAAGATTTAGCACAAGTATATCAAAATTGATGTCATTAAAATGCAATTCACTAAAAATTAAGGGGTTTTCCCTATAAACTAATGCATACCTACATCTGAAAATTTTAGGGTTGCTAAATCAGACAAAATGAGGAGAAAGAAAGCAGGGTCTTGACCACTTAACAAATGTTCTTTTAATTTTTTCCAACATTTCTCTGCAGAACAAGGTGGTGAGTGAGCTTGGTGGAACCTCTCTAGATAATAGATGGACTGTGTTTCCCATAAGAGCCATGATTTCTGGCTTGTAGCCCTAATCATGTGGTCTCTATTATCTAAAAAGACTTTGTTCTGTTTGCCCTTGAATATGTACACAAAGCTGCTATGCTTGTGCTCTTATTTTAGGGTACTGACTCTGTTCCTTCTAGCTATAGTCTTTAGAAATTCTTAGAGACTAGGATGTGTCCTGAGTGCTGTCTTAGTCATCGTGTTTTGCTGTTCCCAAGCATCTGGCCTAGTACCAAGAACATGGTGGGCTGTCAGCAAACATTAGTGAATCTCATTCATCACTTTTTTTTTTTGCACATTTCAAGGTGTCTGAGTTGAGTCACTGTTTCATAATATGTAGAAGGAAAGAATTAGTGAATTAATTTTCTGATTTTTATCAAAAATCCTACCAAGGATTTATTAATACTCTTCTGAGATGCCTTTCAATACAAAATTTACAATTTTCTGGGTAGGTTTGTCAATAGATTGTGACATGCTAAGATTCTCTTGTACATCAAAACTGAAACTAGTTAAATTAATTCAGTTTAAGTTTGGAAGGTTCTTCTGAGCTTTTTTGGCATATTAGAAAAAAAAGAGGCTTGCATTACTAAGACTCGAGTTCAGCTGCACTAAGTCATGGAGTGATTTTAGGGTTTTTCCTTAACCTCTCTATGCTCCATTTTTCTTACCTGTACAGTGGGGACAATAATGCATGGTTCTTGTGAAGAAAAGAGATAATATATGAATGGAATCTGACTCACAGGGGACAATAAATGGACAGTTATTACCATCACTGATTCTACTAACCAGAATTAACCTGGAAAAGGGGGTACAAAATTATAGACAAAATTTTTCTGGGCTGGAGAACCTCTAATTGAATGAGCCCTGTTTCTTAGAAGGTCATTGCTTGATCCCCTGTGTTCACACAGTGATTCTGGACCTCTCCGTATTGCAAAGACACCATCACCACCAGAGGAGGTTTCGCCCCTGCCAAGCCCAACAGCCAGTCCTAATCACACGCTAGCACCTGCATCTCCTGCACCAGTGCGGCCCAGATCGCCTTCACAGGTAGGAAAAGGGCACACAACTGGGAGTGTGGGAGAACTAATGGTGTGGTGACCCCATCCAGGAACATCCCATGTTGTGAAGGAAGTAAGAGAAGTTTCCAGTTGAGGAGACTGAGGCATGAGACTTAGACATTGTGATTAACACTAATGAATCCATCTGTTTTTCTCATTTGATGTTTATACTTCCTCCTGTGCTCTGAGTTTAAATCTTAGGACTTCTGACCATATCCTCAGCTTCCTCAGGCTACAATGTGGTCCTCCTCTACCATCTTTTCCACTCAGAATCCTATCTTTCAAAATCTGGGGATGTTGCTCAGTGGTAGAGCACTTGCCTAGCATGCAAGAGGCCTTGAGTTCCATCCCCAGGGCTGCAAAAAAAAAAAGAATCTTGTCTTCCAAAGCTCTTCTTAATTCTACCTGAAACCTCTTTTCTAGCGCTTTAGGTTATACTTGAAGCAAGTACTGTCAAGGAAAGCACTTATGTTTGTGCATTATTTCATATTTTTATAACACCCATGGTGCATTGCACATGAGTATCCACTCAACAAAACTGTGTGGAACAAATGATTGAAAAGAAGCAGTAAGGGTTGGAAAAGAAAAATTGCCACCCTTACATTACCTAGTTGGAGTGAAAATAAAATTCTTGTAGGAAAATTTGAAGTTCCTAGTCCAGTTCAAACTTCTGTGACTATGGTAGAATCTAAGGAAAGTCATAAGAAGATAAATATAATAGATTCTAAAAGTTCTTATTTCAAAGTCTTATGGTGGAAAGTGAAATGGAAGTTGCCTATGTTTGTATCACTGATTCAAGGAAGAGCTTTCTTGATTTTAACTTCAAAATTCTAAGTTTTTGCTAAAGTAAGAAATCATTTCCAGTTTAGCTCAAAGATGGTATTGCCTCAGTTTGACCTTATAGACCTTGGAGTCCTGTGCTTGGTGCTTGTGTTTAGATGAATGGATTCATCTCATGGCTTGAGTTTTTCCTATTGCTCCAGTGCTTAACCCTGCTCAGAGAGGCACCCAAGAACACAGCATTCTTGGCTTAAATCAAGAAGACTTATATCTAACAGTGATCTAAGTTTTAATTGGAGATCAGCCTGTCCATCTAGCTCTGTCCCTGTGACATTTCTTTGTGTCTCAACCAACATCTTTTGCTGCTTTTTTGTTTATATTTAATGTTCCCTAGACAAGGAAGGGTCCCCCTGTCCCACCTCTGCCTAAAGTCACCCCGACAAAGGAACTGCAGCAGGAGAACATCATCAATTTCTTTGAGGACAACTTTGTTCCAGAAATCAGTGTAACAACTCCTTCCCAGGTGAGTTCTGGGTACAGAGCCGGGATGCCTATGAAAGTACCTTGGTGCAAGGACTGTCGGGTTGGCCCTAGAGAAAGTGGCCACTATATCATTTTAGCTGTCACTCAGGTTTGTCTTAATTACTTTGTGTGTCTTAAGGCTTCTTAAATGGAAGATGTACAGTATTTGAATACTCTTATTTTATTAAGAGTAATACATAGTTATTGCAGAAAATTGTAAAAATGCTAAAAAGCATAAAATGATGAATTTTTATAATCACTTAAATTATCCCACTGTGACATAACCACTAATGCACTTTGGTCTATTTTCTTTTAGGTTTTTTTCCCTAAGTCTGTATCATTTGTCACTTTGAAATTCAGATTGAACTGTTACATAGTCCTGACAAGCTTACTGAGCATTTTTTCATCTCATAATTGTCTCAGGAAAGACATATTTAACCTTAGTATTCTGTCAATTAAATATACCAGCCCCTGGTTCTTGGCAACAGGTTGTTTGTAATTACTCTGTTGCTTCATCAACACTTCAGTGAATATCTGTACATATATTAATTCATGTTTGTGCCATCTACTGTTTCTTTTATATTGACTCCTAGTCCAGCTTAGGAAGATAAAAGTAAGTGAATAATTGTTAGCGTTATGCTCTTCAGCTTGGTTGTAACATTTGTATGACTCAGTAAATGGGAAAGTCAGGGTTCCTACTGCTTTGAAGACACCTGGATACACATGTCTTGCCTATAGTCAACCTTAAGACCTATCCGTTCCACTGGCCAACTGTTTCCTGAACTCAAGAATAGTCGTGTCTTCCAGAACTGCTCCTAGTACAGCTTGAAACCAGCTGTCTAAGAAATAAGCCAAGCTCAAAAAGCTAAACATTGCAATTCCCACTCAGTTGTGGAACCTGGATCTAGATGATGATAATGGTGATGGTAATGATAATGAGACATGAATGTGAATGGGGTGATCTGGGGGGTCAACATGACAGGGGAGTGGGAAAGGAAAGGATACAGAGGGGTGAAGTAAATGGAAGTATGCTACATGTATATGTTTGGATACAGTATAATGAAACCCACCAAAAACTGTGTAAAATGTGGGGTAAAGTAAGGGGGAATGAAAATTTGATAGAGGATATGGACTTGTTCAAGCTACACCATACACCTGTATGGAATTACCACAATGAAATGCTTTCATATTATTAATGTATTCTAATTCAAAATATAATAAAACTATTAAAAAAGTGAAAGTCCCCGAAAATTCATGCCAATGCCATTTCCTCTCAGGCTCAGAAATAATATTTATATTTTGCAGGAGTTTCTGTCACCATACTCTAATCACTGAGCATGTCAGAACAATACTGTGTTTAATATCCTAGCTCTGATCACATCCCATTGATATTACTGAAGTAGTCAATTGATAATAACAAGAAGCTCAGAAAATCCAATCTCAGGAGCATTGTGGTGGCAGATCATGATTTATCGTCCCTTTTGAGGACATTTACTAAAAGGCATAGTGCTTTGAGCTATTGTTTTCTTCCTTCTGTTGTGTTTACAGGATGTTGATTTTGATAAGCTAGGAGTTTGAAGTGTGGTTTAGCAGCTCCTTTGCATAAGGGGAATTGTATGTTTATCACTGTGTGGTCAGATTGCATGTTAGTGGACGTACACTTGCTCCAGGGATGGCTGTCTTAGACCACATTATCTTACCCAGCACCTGCCAATTGCCCTGACACCAAACTTCAGCAGTCTTTATTTTCAAGTTGTACTGTGCCTTACCTTTGCTACTACCTAGCTTCATTTTCTTTTTTGGTACATGAATTTTCACATTGAAAGTGTTTTAGGGTGATAATGCTTTTCCTCAGTTGCTTTCACCAGGGCCATCCTGAAGCCTCCTCTCAATTCCACCACAAGTAGGGGCTTTGGTCCTCTAGAAGCCTATGTACTTAGCTGAGAACATTCTTTTCTCGGAGATGAGGCAACTCAAGTGGCGAAAACATGACACTTAGAAGTTTTGAAGTAAAGATGAGGTCCCAGAGTGTTCTTTCTTCTGAAATGTTTTCTTACTTTCAGTTTGTTGGCTCCTAGATAAGGACCCTTCATAACGAGGTGGGGGTGGGTGGTAGAGAATCAAAGCACTTTTGAAAATTACAAATGGTAGGAGAGGCCCTTGTGTACTTCTGGGAGCATTAACTTTTGCTGGTATTGTTGAGAGAGAATGATGGAAACACTTAAGAGTTGGGGGGAGGGAGAGGAATCCTTTAAAGATGGAAGCACTCATTTCCATCTGTGGCTCCTGCCTAGACACAACTCACTGGAAGCCCACTCTAGCTTGGGCTTTGCTGGTGCCTTACAGGGGCCTCCCAGCAGCACCTTTCATAACCTATTGGCTGTTTGTCATGTCCCCTAGTGTGCCGACTGAATTTGAGAGAACTAACCACCAGAGACATTGTGAGGGTGCATTTGGGGGGGGGTGTACTGTATTTATGTCATTTTCTTTTAATCTAGGGAGGAGACAGAAGGGGGTTTCTGTTATTTCTCTGAATCTGAGAAACAGCCTGGTTCAAGCAGTGGGACCACAGAATGTGATATGAAGCATTTCTATTGACTAATGGCCACTCATCTCATGTCAAGAGAGGAAGTGAAGCAGGATTTATATTTCTGTCTACTTTTGGGGTTATAGAGGAAGATAACTAGCTTTATTTAGAAATAGACAAGTGCTACCTTTTACTGCAGTGTCTTAACAATTTCCTTAGTCTCTTGTTCCTCTGTGCCTGTGAATAGGCCTTGTGTGTTATTTTGACCCTTCTAGCAATTCCAGATTCAGCAAGTTTGGGATCAGGAATCTGCATCTCTAATGAGCTCCAGGTGCTGCTGATGCTGTGGTCTTGCGATCCCACTGTGGGAATGACTGTTTTAAACTGTCAGAATTTTGCATGGTACAAAGCTGTGACCAGTAACGAAGTACCTCAGTGGATTAATAGATTTCTTCCAGAGAAATATCCAGCCAACCTAAGTTTATGTTATGACTGACCATTTATAATTGCCCTGTTTAAAAATAATGTGACTTAAATGGTCCATGTCTAGGTCTATTGGACACATAAATGTTTATGTATGTGCTTATAATATGAAATGTGATTGCATTGTATGTCAAGACTTATCAGAAAATGAATTGTGTCATCTGGAAAATAATGTGTCTGCAGTGTACAGATGAATGATAAAAGAGAATTAACAGCAATTCTTGGAGAAAACAAGATGCTACAGGGAAGTACTAAAAACTAGAGAGCTGAGAGGTGTCTGAAAAGGTTTTCCCTCTGATACATTAACATCAAACGGTCCATTTAATGGTGTTTTGATACTTTTTTCTAAATGAGTTATCCTATATTTAGAAGATAAGTTTATGTCCTCAGTTTGCTGATTTTTGTCATGCACTTAAAGGGGAAAAATTTTTTTTTGCTAATCCTGCCCAGAAGCTACAAATGCAGTGGTTGAAATACATCCATTCTCTGATGGATTTGTTTCTTGTCTACCACAGCAGTGATCCTCTCCTTGGTGTGGTCTGGGATAGAAAATAAAAATCCATCAGGCCTAGAGAGCCCTCTAATGGCCCAAACCTTGACTATAGCATAGAATTTTCTCTAGGAGAGGCCTTCACTTTCTCACAGGGAGAGGCTGGATTGACCAAAAGGCTTATCCTGCTTTCCTGGTTCATTGTTTACAAAAATCAAACTTCTAAAGAACAAATTCATCCTTCACTGAGATTCTCTACCAAGAACCTCAATAGGAAGATGTCCTCTGTATATGTGTCCCTGCATTATTCTTTTCAGACAGCAGTTTCCAAAATGTGTGCTTGAAGAACACTGATGATCTGAGACCCTGTGATAAAAGAGACCCTGGTCATACAAGACTGGAAAGGGACTGTCTGCTTTTACAGTGCCTTGTTTAAGCCAGACTTTCTCTAACAGCCCCCCTTTCTTACCCCTACCCTGTGCAAACTTGCTGTTCCTGGGTAATGGGAACTTGGAAAAACATTTTTAAAAATGAAGATTTAAAAAATACTATGTCATGGAAACGGAATCTATGCATAAAAATAAGACTTTTTTGATGTTACAGCTTCCATTTTATTTTCTATTTTGATATCAGAACTTTCATTTCATTTATTTTATTTTTATCTTTGTTAGCATATTATTGTTGTACTGGGGGTACATTGTGACATTTACAAAAATGCTTACAATAAGTTTTGGTTAGATTCATTCCCTCCATCATTGTCCTTTATCCCTCTCTGCTTCTTAAAATAGTTTCAACATGTTTCATTGTTCCATTTACATATATGACTACATAATATTTCTACCATATTCACCTTCCTTCATTCTTGCTTCATGTTCTCCCCCCTTCCACTAGTACCATCCCCACAAGCGACCTGTTTTACCTTGTTCTCTGTCTTAGAAAAAAGACAGTTTTGTTTGTTCAAGATAGTTATACAGGGTGTTTCATTATGACATTTCCATGTATATATGTATTATAACCCAAATTAGTTCATCTCCTCTATTTTTCTTTTTCTATCTTGGTCCCCTTCTTATGGTGATTTCAGTAAGTTTAAAAATTTTATATTCATTCTTGTATAGAAAGTACATGAACCATATTCACCTTCTTTACTTCCTTCTTTTATATCTCCTTCCTGTTAGTGCCCTCCTCTTAGCGTGACCTGTTTTTCATTCATGTCCTTCATTGTTTAGGTATCTGTTTCTTGTTCAGTGGGATTTTTGCCTTGCTACTCCTCTACTATACTTCCTCTCCCTTTCCCTATATCCTGTGTTGTTTAACAGCTTTCAGTGTGTTGGTAGCAATTGTGTATACACACATGTATGTATATATGCAGGATCCTCTCTCACTTTTCCTCAGAAAATGTTTTGAACTGTTTTTTAGTCTAACTTGATGCTTGATTTTACATCCAGTGTATTCATCTCCCCTCCCTCTAGAGTCTTCCTTAGGGATTATGGGGCCTAAGCAA